GATTATATAGTGAAAATACATGAATTCTTTGAAAATCTTCTTCTCTACTCCTAGGTATTAAATAAACTAGCTAAGTGCATAGTTATCATGAGCAAGAGTGCCTCAACCAAAATTGTGAATTTTATGGTCACAGGGTCAGGGGTTCTGGTGTTGGGGCGGGGCTCTATACATTATATAGTGAAAATACATGAATTCTTTGAAAATCTTCTTCTCTGCTCCTAGATATTAAATAAACTAACTAAGTACATAGTTATGATGAGCAAGAGTGCCTCAACCAAAATTGTGAATTTTATGGTCCCAGGGTCAGGGATTCTGGTGTTGGGGTGGGGCTCTATAGATTATATATTGAAAATACATGAATTCTTTGAAAATCTTCTTCTCTGCTCCTAGAAATTAAATTAACTAAGTACATAGTTATGGTGAGCAAGAATGCCTCTTCTAAAATTATGAATTTTATGGTCCCAGGGTCAGGGATTCTGGTGTTGGGGTGGGGCTCTATAGATTATATATTGAAAATACATGAATTCTTTGAAAATCTTCTTCTCTGCTCCTAGAAATTAAATTAACTAAGTACATAGTTATGGTGAGCAAGAATGCCTCTTCTAAAATTATGAATTTTATGGCCCCAGGGTCAGGGGTTCTCAGTGTTAGGGCGGGGTTTAATTGATTATATAGTGAAAATACATTAAATCTTTGAAAATTTTCTTCTCTGTCTCTGGATATGAAGCAGGCAGATGAACTACCTATATAGTGATGATGAGCAAGGGCCCTAATCTTCCAGAATTGTGAATTTCAAGGCCCAAAGGTCAGGGGGGGGCTTTACTTATATACTGAAAATGAATTAATTGTTTGAAATCTGCTCCTTTGTATTTATAAAACATTTATTTATTTTTTGATAAGCAATTTTAAGGGTGCCTTTTTAAAATTTGTGCAATGTGTGGACCTAGGATCAGGGGTTTATGTCACAGTGTTAGGGGCACTACTGATTATTGCTGAATATTATTGATTAGTTGGAATGCATTTTTGTTCCCCTACCTTGTGTATGGGTATTCAGTAACCAAGCTAAGCAACTGCTAAGTGTATTGTTATGATGATCAATGGTGCCTCTTTCAAAATTGTGAATGCCATATAGCATCTGGCTTAAAACATGAATCAAATTCAATAACTGGAAAGTTGTTGAATAATGCTCAGGTGACCTATAAGGCCCGTGTGCCTCTTGTTTATATCAAAATAAGTTTTATCAATGAAGAATTCGAAATTTTTACGTCATGAATTATACATGTATGTATTGACTTTTAGTTTCGTATAGCAAGTATGGCGGCCTCCTAGGACATGATAATAACAATCTCTCACCCTCAGACAGAATATTCTGAGCTGTGAAGACGCATAGGAGAATTAAAACTACAAAATATGAATGTGGATTATGTCATAGATACTTTACAACCATGCAGTCTGTGCTCTATCATTTACGCACGAAGCAAGGGAAACTTTTGACATTTTAACTGCACCAAAATTGAAATGTGTATATAGCGTTTCGATCCAGGAATAATACGGTACAGTACAGACAAGTGATATAATTTTTTAGTTGTTAATAAATATATAAAACGTTTTTTACGAAGCTCACAAAGTTCATTTTCCAGAATGTTTCATTTTCCAACAACTTGTTTAAAGTTTTATGTTAGAGAAAATTCGGTCGAACAAAGTTGTTTGATGAAAAACGACATTAATTAAAGCACATTATGATGAATATAACTGTTTAATTTAAATTATGAAGAAACACAAGTAATGAATTTGAAAAAAAATGCTGTCAATGGTGATGCAGTGTTTGTTTAATTAAAATCAAATAAAAACACGAAATGTTTAGAGATTTCATGATTTATTTTTAGCTCACCTGAGCCGAAGGCTCAAGTGAGCTTTTCTGATCACATTTTGTCCGTCGTCTGTCTGTCGGTCTGTCTGTCCGTCCGTCTGTAAACTTTTCACATTTTCGACTTCTTCTCAAGAACCACTGGGCCAATTTTGACCAAACTTGGTACAAAGCATCCTTGGGTGAAGGGGAATTTAAATTGTTAAAATGAAGGGACATATCCCCTCGCAAGGGGAGATAATCAAGAAAAGAGAAAAATAGGGTTGGGTCATTAAAAAATCTTCTTCTCAAGAACCACTGGGCCAGTAAAGCTGAAACTTATGTGGAAGCATCCTGGGGTAGTGTAGATTCTAAATTGTTCAAATCATGACCCCCGAGAGAAGGGCGGGGCCACAATGGGGAATCCAAGTTTTACATAGAAATATATAGAAAAAATCTTTGAAAATCTTCTTCTCAAGAACCACTGGGCCAGAAAAGCTGAAACTTATGAGGAAGCATCCTGGTATAGTGTAGATTTTAAATTGTTCACATCATGACCCCCGGGAGAAGGGCGGGGCCACAATGGGGAATCCAAGTTTTACATAGAAATATATAGGAAAAATCTTTGAAAATCTTCTTCTCAGGAACCACTGGGCCAAAAAAGCTGAAACATATGTGCCCATGGAAGGATCATGGGGTAGTGTAGATTTCAAAATGTCTAAATTATGATCAGTGGGGTAGGGTGGGGATGCATTATGTATAACATGGGGGAAATCTGGTAAAGAACAGAATGGTCAAAGCTTCTCAGGTGAGTGATGTGGCCCATGGGCCTCTTGTTTCAGATGGTGAAAGAATTGTATTATGAAAGTATTGAGTGTTTTCTGTCAATCATTTTTGTCAATTATTTTAGTCTTCATGAAAATTCATGAACATTCATAATACCTTGAACTCTACATTTTTTCTGTCTTTAAAATGAAAATTACCAATATTCATATATATTCATCATTTGTTCATGAACTACATTTTATGAATATATTCATGAATAAAGTTCATGAACCATCTTTATGAACCAGTCATGAACCAGTCATGAACACATCATGAATGTTCATGAACGATTCATAAAAGTTCCTGAAATTATGAATTTCACCTCGCAGGGGTAGCAAAGCCATGATTTATCATGGGACTACTTTTGGATTTAAACTTTTCAATAATAAACCAATTTCTACTTTTTCCTAGCCACAGTAGTGCTCAGGTGAGCGATGTGGCCCATGGGCCTCTTGTTGACGTTATGATAATCTGTAGCTCTTAAAGAAAGGGGTAATAAAAATAATATTAAAGAAAAAGTAATAAACATACGCTCTTGAAATTTAAAATATAAAAGATTTGAGAACATCTCCAATATTTTTATTATGTTTTCATGTAAATCCATTGTGTACCTCATATTTTGTAATACTCTATGAAAATAGTAAAATTTGCTGATTTTTTGCATTTTGAGATGCCCCCTCTGGTAACAAGATGGTAGAATTTTGTGTTTCTTACATATATTGTATAATATAGTATTACTCATCAAATATTATAGTTTGAACAAAATGTCTATTGTAGTTTTGTATAATTATAGCCCCGCTCCGAAGGAGAGGGGGGTATACTGTTCTACCCTTGTGTGTCTGTCTGTCTGTGTGTCCGTCCGAAACAAATTTTTCGTCGCAGTTTTCTCAGCAACTACTCATCGTAGATGCTTGAAATTTTTACACAATCTTCTCTGAGGCATGCCATATGGTGGGATACATTTTTGCTCAAATCCGATGTCAACTTCCTGTTTGTCTGTGCGTCTGTCCGTTTCATACATAACAAATTTTCGTCGCAGTTTTCTCAGCAACTACTCATTGTAGATGCTTGAAATTTTAAAACAATCTTCTCTGAGGCATACCATATGGTGGGATACATTTTTGTTCAAATCCGAGATCAACTTCCTATTTGTCTGCCTGTCTGTCCGTTTCATACATAACAAATCTTCGTCGCAGTTTTCTCATTAGTTATTCATAGCAGATGCTTTAAATTTTATTACACTCTTTGTTGAGGCATGCCATATGGTGGGATTAATTTTGATATGAATCTAATGTCAACTTCATATTTTTCTGTGCAACTGCCTGTAATTGAACTTGTGTATATTAACATGATAGTGCTTATTATACCCCCGCTCCGAAGGAGAGGGGGGTATACTGTTTTACCCTTGTGTGTCTGTCTGTCTGTCTGTCTGTCCGTCCGTCTGTCCGTCCATAACAAATTTTCGTCTCATTTTTCTCAGCAACCGTTCATCGCAGATGACTGAAATTTTAGCACAGTCTTTGCCAAGGCATGTCATACGGTGGGATTCATTTTTGTTCAAATCCGATGTCAACTTCCTGTTTATCCGTCCGTCTGTCTGTTTTATACATAACAAATTTTCGTCACATTTTTCTCAGCAACTGTTCATCGCAGATGACTGAAATTTTAGCACAATCTTTGCCAAGGCATGTCATACGGTGGGATTCATTTTTGTTTAAATCTGATGTCAACTTCCTGTTTATCCGTCCGTCTGTCTGTTTTATACATAACAAATTTTCGTCGCATTTTTCTCAACACAATATCGGTATATATATATAGTTCTAACAAGATGCTTTGGTTTCTATGTATTTTTACAGATACTTTCTGCATAAACTTTAATGATGATAAAGAATTTACCTTAAATGAAAATAAATACTTAAAAAGTTACATTTCTTTAACTTAACACGTGTATAATTATTCACATAAAAGCGCACATTCGTATCAGAGCGGGGGTATTACTAGTGAGCATTCGCTCACAGATTCCTTGTTTACGTCAGAGCGGGGGTGTTACTAGTGAGCATTGGCTCACAGATTTCTTGTTTGTTTTAAAGTGCTAAAAATTGGCATTTTTCTATATAATCCTATAGTAAATGTACCTGTATTTTGAGACGGTCCCTCAAAAATACCTGGACAGTAGATTTCCCCCAAACTTTGCATGTACACTGAAGTTAATGTAAGCTATATATGGTATAAAAATGAAGAGTTTCGCTATTGTAGTTTTCACACAATAAAACTATAGTCGGCCCCCTTAAACTATGTTTGAAACTATTTCTGATATTTGACCTTGTAGAGATCCTGTGTGTGGATCAGATGGACAGACCCACGGGAACCAGTGTGAAATGGAAGAAGCAGCGTGTAAAGCCGGCAAATCTATTGTAGCCGTGAATCCAGAAAACTGTGGCAATGGTAGGTCAAATAACAAGAATGATCAGTGGTAGGGGGGTATATTGCAGGTATTAAAGAGAATTAGTGATAATGATGGACCACTGAGATAAACTGGAGCTTGGCTGTCTGCAAAATCGACCAGTAACTGTAAAAAATAGGTTATGTGTGTGTGGAGCAGATGGAGTAACATGATAAAATAAGATGCTGAAAGTGATAAATTGTTAAGCATTAATGGAACATATTAATTGCATTCAACTTTGAATTAGAATAAATATAAATATAAACTTAATTCTTTGAATTGAGATAAATGTGGTATATAATTTTTTTTTAAATTCAAGTTATGTAGTTAAAAAGACTTGTTCAAGCTAGCTGGAAGATAGACTATATTTTTGTAGATATTGTATATTGCAGGTTATAGATTTGTTTGTTACTTGAAGCTATTTTTATATATTCTTTATATTGAAGGAGTAATTTGCCAACTTTATATGCTTGTAGATTTACTAGAGGAGGCTTGTGATGGTAGCACTGCTCTTGTGAACCCAGTAACAGGCCGGGATTATAACTGTTCATCAGAACTGTGTCCCCCCATAAGCTACTGTCATCTTAAATATGGCAAATGCTGCCACGAAGGTAAGCGAACATCCCTGCTTACACACTCCTGAATTCATTGTTAAGTTACAAAACCATACATAAGTTTAAGTCCATTGGTATCATACAAAAAGTTGAGGCCCAAACAATGAACATTTCAATTCTAAGTAACCTTTTGGATATAGCCTTGGATTCATGATAATTTCACATCATTATATCGTACAACAATATCCTACACTTTGAATTCATTTTAAATGAGTTATTACATGATTTCATTAACATTTTGGGCACAGTTCAAGAAGTCACATTTATAATCTGATTCATCTGACTGAAATTTTTTGGTAAACAATGAAGTTCTTCCATAGCATTTGAACATTTCTCTGTTTCCGATGATGAATAACATGTTAGATATAGTTAATATAATAGAGTGTCTTGGTGATAATTTGCTGTCTTGGTACCATCTCTTACAGAAAAATCAGATATTGTCGCTGGGTGCTTGGACACCAAATTTGGATGTTGTCCAGATCAGGTGACCATAGCTGAGGACGCGGATCATAAAGGCTGTCCTTGTAAGTAACCACCACATTGCTACATTTAGCTCACTTAAACTAACTCATAAGCAATTAGTAGTTGTGATATATTTTTGATAATTAAATTGATTATGTGAATCATACATCAGTATTTTATAAATATTTTTCAGCTGGACCTCAAGTCAGGACAATTACTATTTAGAATATTTGACCAATCAAATTACAGAGTTACTTTACTGTGTTTTTTTTGACCAATCAAATTACAGAGTCACTTTACTGTTTTGGTTTTGACCAATCAAATTACAATTACCATATTGTCTGTGGTTTCCATGCATGATATATGTTGTTTGTCCAGTTTTCATGTTTTTTTTTTCCAATTTATATATATCATGTAAATCCAAAAAAATTCAATGATTCCTTCATTTTCATGGTATAATAACCAAAATATTAAACAATTAGTAAACCTTTATCTTATTTCATCGTGTTAATTAACCATTTTATAGAACTTCATAAGTGTTTCTTTTGATTGAATTTTATGATCTTTCTGTAGTAAAAGGGTTCACTGAAGTAAAATTCTTTTTACAGCTGATTGTGGTTGTAAAAGTCCAGGCTCGCGCTCTATGTCATGTGACCCTAAAACCAAAGCATGTGAATGCCATCCAGGGGTCGGAGGTCAGAAGTGTGACAAATGTAAGCCGGAATACTGGGGTCTCAATCCCGAGACGCGGCAGCAATACACACCGGGGTGTGTCAGTAAGTAACCAGTTCACTGTCGATCTATATCATAAATTACAAGCACATTGTAGATCATCAAATCCTCTCCACAACTTATTTTTGCAAAAAGTTTGGTATTTATGAATAACACCAAATTTTCACGAATTCTGGGGTTATTTTTATTGTATATAAATAATCATCGTCGCAAACCATGGCCAAAATGTACGCTGCTCTCCCATCTGGCCATGGTTGAACGAGGAGAAAATTCTTCGAAGCTCATTAAAATATTGACCAATGCGAGTAAAGCATAGTCGGATGATGAACTTTATGGCGACCTTTCAATATCCAATCGCAGTATAGGAAATATTTCTTGTATACTGTTGACGTCAGTTGTTGATTTCGATTGCGATGGAAACAAAACTTGCATAAATGACTGATATATGACGTCACAATAGAGAGGCGTAAATATTAACCATATTACGACACTTTTTGTGACAAGCAGCCACGGGTAGGAGAGAGCTATATATGCGGACTCCGGACCGTGGCTTGAGACGATGATAAATAATATACACAAGAACAAAAAGAATAAAAAGTGATTTACATTAGGGAAAAAGCTAAATGTCTAATGCATACATCGCTTTCTGTGTAAGACAGCAATGCTATCTCAATCATAGATGATTCCACTCCTGTAATCAATGTTTGGCCTGATCTCATCAAAGCAATGTCATTCAACCAAAAATCTAAAAAAAATTAATTGTTGATAATGACCTAAGGAGGTAATAATGGTGAAGTCTCAAAATTCAACAGCTTTGAACTTTTATGTATTACCATAATATCGTTGTCAGGTTGTGACTGTAATTTATTTTTTCAAATTGTAATAATTATAATTTTGTTTTCTACAGGTTGTGACTGTAATCCTTTTGGTTCCACTCGCTCGGATTGTAAACAGAACGATGGTGGGTGTGTCTGTAAACGAGGGGTCAAAGGTCACAAGTGTGATACTTGTGAACATGACGAGAGTCCAGTCTCATTTGATGTCTGTGGACAGGATGGTTAGTCTATTAATAGAAAGATTCTATACAACGGAAATCCCTGAAAGTTACACATTCTACTGAATCTGGTTTTAAATTGAGTATGAGATGAAAAGGTAGATTAACCAGTGACTATAAGTCAAGGAATACCCTAATTAAACTTGTATGAGAGGTGTGTTTCCTGTCTAGGGATGTGCACTACTAAATAGGGCTGAATCTAATTGTATCAATATTTATTGATTTTTAAGAATGTAGAATACTGAAACATTAACCTCATGATGAGATAGGCATGCAGGCAAGGATCAGGTTACCTTTAACATTAAATTTTTCGGAATTGGAGGAGGATCTATATTTTTTGTTTTCTTAACATATCATTTATTATAGACAAGGGTATTCAACACTTTAATGTATTATTTCAGTGCAGGCTATTTATAACCCTGAACACAGCTGTAGCAGATCGGCCGGGGAGTGTCAGTTTGGGGCGTATTGTCAGGACACGCTCTACGGAGCCGAGTGTCGCTGCGATCGATTGTCCTGCTTCTTTTATCCAGAGGGTGGCTACTCTATATGTGGCTCGGACGATAAGACGTACATCAATGAATGTCACATGTTTTTTGAGAGTTGTAAACAACAGAGGAACATCACAGTTAAATACATAGGGCCTTGTACAGGTCAGTTAGCAGCTACAGGTGTAATAAAACAGATTGTGAATTTAGCATTTAGAGTAAGGTTCTTATTAAGGGCCATAATTAGAATAAGCAGCATCCAGATTATAAAACAATTTTTTTAAAATAGTTCAATGACAACAGAGAAAAATAATTGTTCAATCAACTGGAGAATATAGTAGAATTTATTTAATTTTATTATTGATTTGAAATTGATGATTTTTCAACTGTTTGTAAGATGTGGAAGAAGCTACGAGAAGTAAAAACCCCCTAATATTTGAAAATAAGAAAAAAATTTCATGACTTTTATATAAGTTTATATAAATCAAGCTCAGCTTTGGACTGTTCACATGCAATGTTTTGGTAAACAGAGAAGAATTGTGTACTTGAAGTGGTATTTTGTACTAATTTTATTCTATAGGGAGTGCCACAAGTCATCCATCCTCGTATACCCGAACCCGAAAGACAACGGGACGACGAATTGGTGACTACACTCAGAGAACAACAACACGGACAACAAGACGACCACCAGTAGGAGGAAGTATGTAACAACAAAATATCTACATTTATTTCATTATTCCTGACAAACTTAACAATGAGGATGTTGTTAGAAAATATTTGTTAATACAGTAGTAACCTATGAGCATTCCTATTCCTTTGAAGGAAAACATCCTGTGAACTAGTTTGAGTTACATCACATTACACCATCATATAGCACCTATATGACTGTGCAGATTTAAAATGCTGCACTGTGTCTACAAAATTTTCCTTCCTTGTTTGCTGTGTTGCACCACACATGGCTAAAATAAAAGAGAACAAAAAAAAAATTGTTTTTAGCTCGCCTAAACCAAAGGCTAGAGCTTCTCTGATGATAGGATGTGTGTAAACTTTCCACATATCTTGTATATATCTTCACAAGAGTCAAATTGAATTCCACCATCTTCACATTCTTATATTCACAGGAGGTGTTAGCATTAAATTTTCATTCAGCACAGAAGCCAGAGCATCAAAGATACCCACACAAATTTCTCTATCCTCACGTAGGCATGAACTGTGGATCCATGTTTTTTGGGGAATATGTACAATGATACTGTTGATTAGAAAATGAATCATCTTGATCTTAAGTGCATTTTAGATAAAAGAAAATAAAGGCTTTGGAGAGGTAGAATTGAAGAGACATGTTTACTCATCACTTTCATGATGTCTTTTATTTTAAACTACAGGGAAAATCAAGGATATCTGTTTTGCCAGACATGACTGTATTGCTAACAACAGCGAGTGTCACATGGGAGTATGTCGCTGTAAGGCGGGATTTATCAGTACCCTGGACGACACAGACTGTAAAAGTAAGAGGAGTACAGAATATCTATAATGTGATTGTAAAAGTAAGAGGGGTACAGAATGTCTACAATGTGACTGTAAAAGTAAGAGGGGTAAAGAATGTCTACAATGGAATTGTATAAGTAAAAGTACAGAAGTACAGAATTGTGAATAATGTCTATAATGTGATTGTAAAAGTAAGAGGGGTACAGAATGTCTACAATGTGACTGTAAAAGTAAGAGGGGTAAAGAATGTCTACAATGGAATTGTAAAAGTAAAAGTACAGAAGTACAGAATTGTGAATAATGTCTATAATGTGATTGTAAAAGTAAGAGGGGTACAGAATGTCTACAATGTGACTGTAAAAGTAAGAGGGGTAAAGAATGTCTACAATGGAATTGTAAAAGTAAAAGTACAGAAGTACAGAATTGTGAATAATGTCTATAATGTGATTGTAAAAGTAAGAGGGGTACAGAATGTCTACAATGTGACTGTAAAAGTAAGAGGGGTAAAGAATGTCTACAATGGAATTGTAAAAGTAAAAGTACAGAAGTACAGAATTGTGAATAATGTCTATAATGTGATTGTAAAAGTAAGAGGGGTACAGAAATGTATCAAAAGGTATCTAAATTTAATACTGAGACAATTGGATGATGTGCATGTGTTTGTAATTTGTGGTTGAATGTTTTACTAGAGGTCCTGGAGAAGGCGCTAGATAACAGGACGTATATAAACCCGTGCTCGGACAGTCCCTGTCTAAATAACGGTCAATGTCAGCTCGACGCGTCCCTGGGGTACCGCTGTCTGTGCCCACTGGAGAAAGCTGGTCCCATCTGTCATAAAGGTGAGACAGGATCAGTATATATATATACTATAAAAATTAATACATCTCATATGATTATCTGTAAAGATGTCTGTGTCCACTGGAGGAAGCTGGCCCCATCTGTCATAAAGGTGGGACAGATCAACATATATCTATTGTAGAATAAAAATCTCATAGGATTTTCTGCTAATGATGAATTAATCGAATTTATTTCAAAGATACACTGTATTTAAAAGAAATTACAACTGACAAATTTTTGAATTGTCCAGTGAGGGTTTCCGAAAAAAAAACCCACTAGGCATTATATGTAATAGTCAGTAAATGTTATGCATTAATACATGGATTGAAAGTCAAGCTCACCTGAGTCGGAGGCTCACCCTTATATTATGAATGTCAGGTTGATCTTTATTTATTCTCATTTAATTGACAGCTGCCAAGTTCTCTGTGCCCTCCTTTACTGGGAACAGCTCTTACCTCCAGCTGAGACAGAGGACCAAACCAAACAATGACCTTATGTTCGAGATTCGGGTGAAAATTCTGAACAATGACGGAATTATTACCTTTGCCAGTCAGTATCCTAACGGAACTGGGGATTTTATAGCCGTCACTGTCGTCAATGGCTACCTGGAGTTCAGGTGAGAGTCAAAGGAAAGGTACTCACCAGATCTGGCCTGCTAATAGAATGCAGTTAAAGTTTAACAACTCTCATATTTTTATTTTGACAATGGAATTTATAATCAATCATTTTGTTTCTTTTTAGCTCTACTGGTCAGAGACCAGAAGAGCTTATGCGATAGTAAGGTGTCCGTCGTCCGTCCGTCCGTCTGTCTGTCTGTCCGTCTGTAAACAATTTTTCAAAACGCTACTCCTCCTACAGTTTTGATCCAATTTCAATATAACTTGGCACACAAGTAGACTACACTAAGATACATAAAATAGTGCATCGGTTTTTGATTTCGATGAACGGTGTTACCATGGTTACTAAAAATAGAATTTTCTGTGAAATTCCTTTAAAACGCTACTCCTCCTACAGTTTTGGTCTGATTTCAATATTACTTGGCACACAAGTAGACTACACTAAGATACATAAAATAGTGCATCGGTTTTTGATTTCGATGAACGGTGTTGCCATGGTTACTAAAAATAGAATTTTCTGTGAAATTCCTTTAAAACGCTACTCCTTCTACAGTTTTGGTCTGATTTCAATATAACTTGGCACACAAGTAGACTACACTAAGATACATAAAATAGTGCATCGGTTTTTGATTTCGATGAACGGTGTTGCCATGGTTACTAAAAATAGAATTTTCTTTGAAATTCCTTTAAAACGCTACTCCTCCTACAGTTTTTATTTGATTTCAATATTACTTGGCACACAAGTAGACTACACTAAGATACATAAAATAGTGCATTGGATTTTAATTTCGATGAACGATGTTGCCATGGTTACTCAAAATTGAATTTTCTTTGAAATTCCTTTAAAACGCTAGTCATCCTACAGTTTTGGTCTGATGGCAATGGCTTCTTTTCTCATCCTTTGTTATAAGTACAAACCAGTAGAGCTACAGTCTCGACAGAGACTTCTGGTTCTTACTTGTTTTACTATAAGAAAGTAAAATTAGGCTATCTAAATTTAATTCCCTGGTTCTCAGGCCAATTTTCTCCAAAACAGATGCGGGAGGGCGGCATTTTATTTTTCATTTTATTGGCAATAAAGTAGATGAGGGAGGTATTTTTTTTAATTTTAATTTTTCTTTAACTTAAAGATAATTTTTTAATCACAGATATACTTTCCATTTCTGGTCAAAATTTCTGCTTTATCCATTGCTTAACAGCGTGTAAACATCGTAGGTAATGTCCTCGAATGTATTTTCAAACGAAGTAGCCAAAATCTCATTGTAAATGGCTACCAGAAGTGATATTTGAATACTAAACTACGAAACAAATGAGGTCGGAATTTTTTTTCCCGGATTGGTCTCCGCAACACCAACTTTTTATTTTATCAAAAATACAATAAAATCGGCAATGCGGCTACCTCAAAACGGATGCGCGCGGGCCTGAGAACCAAGATTTCAATTTTATATGGCCTTAATAGTACTTATGATTTATGTAAACTTTTAATAGGTATTATTTTGTTTTATGGGTACTTATGATTTGTGTATACTTTAGGTATGACTTGGGGAGTGGTCTAGCTCTGATCCGAAGTCGAGACCAGCTGAAGAGAAATGTGTACCACAAAGTCGTGGTCAACAGAGTGGGCAAGTCTGGTCAGTTACAGGTGGACAACAGTCCAGTCCTACAGGGGGAGAGTGAAGGGGCACTGACCTCTCTTGACCTTGGGGATTTCCTCTACCTGGGGAACATTCCTGATGAAGCTAAAGGGTAAGGGACTGAGTTATTGAAAAAATATAAATGTCGCTTCATTTCGCTGTTTTGGATAAAATTACAGTTTGTACCACTAGCTGTTTACATCTGATATATTTATAGGGCCAAGAAACTGCTGGGTCTACAGGTCGGCCTGGCAGGTTGTATCGACTCCTTCGCTGCAGGGAGCACCATGTCCCCCTATACCTACAGCCTGAGCTATCCCTCCAGGAGCGGGGATCTAGTCTCGGGATTGGACGTGTGGGAGTGTGGCAGCAACCCCTGTAGTTCCCTCCCCTGTCATAACGGGGGATCCTGCTTCATGGCCGATAAGGAAGTCTTCCATTGTGAATGTGAACCTGGATTTACAGGTACATTCATAGAATTCAGTATTAGAGAGGAGTCCCATATAGATAATAATTAGAATTCTATGTTAATGAATCAAGTTTTAGTAATAGAGAAGAACATTCAATAAAATTGCATGAATGTTAGAATGCTCTTGCAAGATCAGTTAGCAGTTAAAAGTAAAGAGGTAGAGCCACTTTGGGCTTTATTTGGCCCTGAGAATTTCTAAAAATTCAAAACCGCTCAGTTTAGGTTGCAAATGCAGTATTTATCACTTGGACTGTTAGTGACCACCTATCTATTAATTGTGACGTAATTTCACATCTAGTCAATGCATTATGACGTCATAAAATGCGTCATTTTCCTCATATCCTGTAAATTCCTTTGAAAATGACCTAAAGTTGAAGCGTTTTTTCAATATTTCATATAGAGCACAACCTCTGATCCAAAATATGCCAATACATATTGAAAGGTCTATTTCTGATGATCAAATAACATGTTTTATTTTTTGGATCGTGGGCTGTGCTCATATTTTAATTCTTTGTTGAAGGTAGTCAAAAATGGATATTTTCTGCAAATTTCAAGAACTTTGCAATTTTTCAAACCTGTTTTCAAATATTTGGATTCTCAAATCAAAATTTCATTATAGAACATGAAAGCACCAAGTGTCTTTTTTATTTCTATATATGAAAATGGAAAGAGGGTGATAGTCAATTAATTGATATAAGTACAGGGCCATTTTATGCATAAGATGGCTCTTGCTCTTTCAAACCTATTTTTGAGGTGGCATTGAGTCTATGCTGTAAACTGATGTGTAACAACAGGTGATATTTCTGAGGTGGCATTAGATCAAAACTTTACATGGATATGTTGAAATTATTTATTTTTATGTGAATTTGTGAGGTGATGTTAGCTTTTTGACTGAAATTCATATAAGAGAATTGTAAAATTATAGGTGATTCTTTTGTGAGATCGCATGAAATCCGTGCCTGAGATTGAAATGTTAGAACAGTTCCTGTTTATTATACCCTCCGCTTGAAAAGTGGGAGGGTATATAGTAATCGGGATGTCCGTTTGTACATCCATCCTTGTTTGGGGTACCCATCTCTTATCTGCAACTCCTTTCATAACACTAAATGAAATTAGATGAGACTTTCACAGAATCTTTATAACATAATAACATTGTGCAGCTCCTATTTTACTTTTTGATCCAACACATATTTTGGGTTTCCCACAACCATTATATTCATATGGGAGTTGGGGGGGTATCATTTATTAGTGAGCTCATTGCTCACAGTATCTCTAGTTTTAGGTGATTTCTATGAGGTGGCCTTAGATCTGTGCCTGAGGTTGATTTGTTAGAACTGTTTTTTTTATAGGTGACTTTTGTGAGGTGGCATAAGATCCGTGCCTGAGTCTGTTATGTGTGAATTGTATATTTGTAGGTGATTTTTGTGAGGTGGCATTAGATCCGTGCCTGAGAGCAATGTGTAAGGAGGGATCTACATGTGTTGTGACAGAGGACGGAGGATTCGAATGTCAGTGTCCAGCTAACATGGAGGGGCAGTTCTGTGAAAACGGTGAGATACATTGACATCTTAAATCACTGTAGTAATATTTTGTACTTAGATTAACTAGTCCACATTTGAGAGACAGACATACAGTATTTACTTAAAGGGAGTCCTACTCTTTCAGAACTACCATTAAAGTATTGTAGTGTACTGTCTTCTTGTTTTATAAAAGTACATATTACAATTTTTGTAAGCTCAAGCTCAATATCATGATTATAACAATACAGAGAAACTGGAGAGGATAGCTGTTCCAGAGTTTAATGGGTCGTCTCTGATAAACCTTCCTCTCGGAGAAGTTGGAAGTCATTCAGTGTCGATCAGAATCTGGTTCAAATCAGCAAAACCCAACGGTAAGGGAAGTTAACATGTCACAGAATAAAAGGTAAAAGTTGGTGAAATAAGGGTGTCAGGTCATTTCTCTCTAAAAATTTTTCTCTCCCAGGTTATTTCTCTCTCCCACCATTTCACGGTAGGTCATTTCACGGTAGGTCATTTCTCTCTCCTACCTGGGTCATTTCACCCCATTTTTAATTTGGTCTTATATAATTATTTACATTTCCATTCTTGTGTTATTAACTTTTGTCTCGTAAAATGAATTAATTTTATCAATTTATGACCAATAAATTTCAAACAAGAGAATGTGTCGTAATTTTATTTACAAGGGAAAATTTAATATTTGATATTAATGAAAATAAATTGATACCATTGTCCAGCCCTTGCTACGTGGAGGCCTCCTCTGTTAAGGGTAATAATTTTGAAAGAAATTTTAAACTCAATTAAAATAAATTAATTTGTTAAAAATAATTAAGTTTTACCATAGCCGATGATGAAGTTTTGTCTATAATCTGAATATTATATACTAGATACTGATCAAACTCGAATCTTGGAAAAATAATACAAAAAAAAATTGCTTTTATTGATTGATTTTGTTTGGCGAAAATTTTGGAATAAAAAATAAAACAGTTTTAAATTATAATATGTCAATTTTGATCTTAGGAGAAAAAAAGGAGAAAATAGACATGACATAAAATAATAACTGCAGAACTGTAGCTCGGTCTCCGAAAAGAAATATATTGACAGACCGGTTCAATACATTTTCTTTTAGGAAAACTACAGTTCTGCAGCTAAAAAATAGATAATTTTTAGAAAACAAAGGATACTTCAAAATATATATTATGAAATCAGATACACAGGTAAAAGTATGTAAATATTTACCAATATTTATTTTGAATAATTGTATATTATAAACCTATAAATAATAAGAACGCGAAGAAAATAATGACGTAAAAATGCTATAAATATGAAAAAACCTAAAATGCAATATTTTCAAGGTACACAAGATTAACAAAGTAGCCAAACCACATGAATTAATGGGAATGAAACAAAGGAAAAAAAATATCTCTTAAAAATGAATTATATTCAATTCAATTCACTTTATTGACAATTACCATGTCGGCATACAGTCATGAACATGAATAACATAACATAAATTAACACAATTAATACAAGCATATACAAAGTGAGAAATATGAGGTGAACAAAATTGTGTATTTCTCAATATTAATATTCATTTTTGACTTTCTTTTCTGATGTCAAAGCACTTTTTCAAGAAACAACATATCCTTCTAGCAGTTGAAATATTTGTAGGATTGACAATTTTTCTAATGGGGTTATCACTAGTATATGTGTTTACATTAAATATATCATTATAATTGCATCTATATTGATCATACTTTGGACAATAAAGAACAAAATGTTTTTCGTCTTCAACAAACAATTTACATGAGTAACATAAACGTTTTTCTCTAGGAATAGGGGGTTTACAGTATCTACCCGTTTCAATATATAGTGGATGGGCACTGATCCTTAATTTTGTTAATAAAGATCTACAACTTTTCTTCAGGGGTAGTTTTAAATAACTTTGCAGTTTGTATTCATCTTGATTCACAATTTTGCTATAAAATGCTAACTTTCCAGAGTCTGATTTGCTAACTTTTTCCAGTTGTTCATATATCTTGTTTTGGTAATGCTCTTGTAATTTGTTTTTCAAAGTTATGTGAGATATTTCCAAAGAACTAATATTTAATTTTTGTAGTAATGAAGACAGTTTCTTTTGCCAAGATATTTTAGATACAAGATTTTTGTCTTCTTTAAATGCAGATACCACTAAATAATTGTTATAATCATGGTTGCATTCCATTTCCTTCATTATAAGACATCGAAAAGGATTTTATCCATGGCGTCCAGTTTTCATTGTTATACCAGAGATTATAAATTTTAAGTACAAACAAAAATATTCCAACTATAATTAACACAAACTTGAACTAGCTTTTTGAAAGGGCAAAGACATATGACTCGATCTCATGTTAGCTAGAATGATCTTTCGACTGATCAATACTTCCGTTTTCTTATCAAGGAGACATTCATGAGGTCTTTTACATGTATGCACATACATATTTACGCAAGAGAAAATAATGCAGAAAAATGTTTGTAACAATCGGGACATTTTAAATTAAAAATCCATGCATCAGTACATTAATTTTACGTTCTTTCAATAAACATGTTAATGTTGGGGGGGGGGGGCTTCCACTGTTGAACAGAGAAAACGTGTAATTTGGGGAAAAAATGAAATCTAAAAAGTTAAAATTTACTTGACTGTGAAAATGCATACATTTAGGATTAGTCATCTTGCCTAAAAATTGTGATCGCTAGGAAGTATTACAGTACATGTAAATGAGTTTGTATTCAATGTAATAACAAGAGGCCCATGGGCCACATCGCTCACCTGAGCACCAAGGGTAGGACTAGTATAAAATGGCTTTTTATTGTAAAGTTTAAATCCAAAAGTAGTCCCATGACTAAGGGTGAAACGTTTACTGAATTTTGTAAACGTTTAAACGGATAGCAGTAAACGAAACGGTACCGTTTAAAGATGTACAACACACTGGGGGAGATAACTCTTGCGATTTCAATTGAACGTTTGACGTGACGTCAAGTTTAACGTCAAAAATAAAGCGTCAAAACGACGAGTAAAACGATCCCGATGTATATCAATCATGAAAGAAAATTGGGATATGGGGCTTGGCTGTGATTGTGCGTACCATACTCAATCAATAAGTATTTTTTTTAATTAACCCGATTAAAATCCGTAAAAAGCAAGACATAAAAATACCATGCGTTAATGTTTATTTCATTTCATTTGATATACAATAAATTGTAATTTTGATCAAAGCGCAGCATTTTTTTTTATTCTGAAAATTTTATTTTACATTGCCGAAATTCTCATTATGTACAATTGGTTATATAACATTCCGATTAATGGTCTTCATTACATTTTGTGCATACACGATATAAATATTGTTTTTCTTCTTTATTTGAATAAAACAACAATGAATAAACAATAAACTTTTTACAATGTAAAATCGATGTTGTTCTCAGACCCTTACTGTTCAAAGAGGAACAACTCTGAAAATGTAGGAGATGTTTATTTTCCTCCCTTTTTTCACGGTTTTCCACAGAATCAGATACATTTACAGTAAGACCTGATAAATCCGACAATTGAATACTATAGACCTCATATACACAATGTAAGTATAGAATTGAAAAGAATTGTTCACTTGTACTTACATTATCTGCATTTATGAATATTCTTTTGCAGCAAATCGTAACTTTGACTTTCTGTCAACAATATGTCGGTTCGCATTTCCTCGAATCAAAACAAAACGTAGCCTATAAGATTTTGAAAAATATCAATGTGGGATTTGATATAAAATGAAATAGATGAAGAGTTTAATGTTTGATATTTTGAAGTTAATGTGGACGAATACGGAATTTTCATTTTAACTTTAGAAGCGACGACATTGAAAGAAATGCGTACAATATCATGAGGGGTGTATGTACATCTAATGCAAATGTCGATGTATCCCCACGGCCACATACTGTCTCGTTTGAAATAATGACATGAAAGAAACTACAATTATTCCATTTATATCACAGAAGAGTTGAACATACACCATTTTTATAATGAATAGAATTAAAGAAATAAAATTAAAAATCAACATATTCAAGTTCAACAAAACTTGAATTCGTATCCAGGTTTGATGTGATATGGAATGCATAACGCATACGTATATGGACTACACACTAAAATCTTTCAGTAATTTTTTTCTGATACATATAAAAAGAGTAGTCAATATTTATTCTGCATTCATGAATTTAAAAACTAATGCATAACTCCAGGATTCTTGACGAAATACCAGTATATTTGCACTGTAAACGACGTTTCGTCAAACGCTAAATGGTCTGCGACGCAAAAAAGGAAGGGGTGGGGGTGATAGGGGTATTCAAAAATTGCCTAAAAATCTACATTTAAATACGCTTTACATATATGAACTTTTGAATTTGTAAGTTAATATATTTGTGAAGCAAAAGCAATATTCCAATTTGATTTTTTAGCTCTACTGGTCAGAGACCAGAAGAGCTTATGCGATAGTAATGCGTCCGTCCGTCTGTCTGTCTGTCTGTCCGTCTGTCTGTAAACAATTTTTCAAAATGCTACTCCTCCTACAGTTTTGGTCTAATTTCAATATAACTTGGCACACAAGTAGACTACACTAAGATACATAATTCTGTGTATCGGTTTTTGATTTCGATGAACGGTGTTGCCGTGGTTACTAAAAATAGAAATTTCTGTGAAATTCTTTCAAAATGCTACTCCTCCTACAGTTTTGGTCTGATTTCAGTATAACTTGGCACACAAGTAGACTACACTAAGATACATAATTCTGTGTATCGGTTTTTGATTTCGATGAACGGTGTTGCCGCGGTTACTAAAAATAGAAATTTCTGTGAAATTCTTTCAAAATGCTACTTCTCCTACAGTTTTGGTCTGATTTCAGTATAACTTGGCACACAAGTAGACTACACTAAGATACATAATTCTATATATCGGTTTTTGATTTCGATGAACGGTGTTGCCGTGGTTACTAAAAATAGAAATTTCTGTGAAATTCTTTCAAAATGCTACTCCTCCTACAGTTTTGGTCTGATTTCAGTATAACTTGGCACACAAGTAGAATACACTAAGATACATAATTCTGTGTATTGGTTTTTGATTTAGATGAAAGGTGTTGCCGTGGTTACTAAAAATAGAAATATCTGTAAAATTGTTTCAAAATGCTACTCCCCCTACAGTTTTGGTCTGATTTCAATATAACTTGGCACACAAGTAGAATACACTAAGATACATAATTCTGTGTATCAAATTTTAATTTTGATGAACCGTGTTGCCGTGGTTACTAAAAATTGAAATGTCTGTAAAATTGTTTCAAAATGCTACTCCTCCTACAGTTTTGGTCTGATTTCAATATAACTTGGCACACAAGTAGACTACACTAAGAACATAAAGAGACTTTATCAATGATCATTATTCTATATATTGCTGTTGTAAAGTTTCAAATCCGAGCTGCTTAAGTACTCTTCCCTTCCTTTGCTATAAGTTCAAACCAGTAGAGCTTCAGTCTCGACAGAGACTTCTGGTTTTTTAATGTTCATTAGTAGATTCATATAACAAAGTGATCGACCCCCGTCTGAAAGACGCGCGGGAACGTGATTTATTGAGAAAGGGGGAGGGGGTAATTTTCCGCTATAAAATCAAAACTGGTCGAACAAAAATTATACAAAAATTTATGAAGATTATTTTTACTACCAGCTACCTAAAGAAAGTTTTTTACCAAAATTAAACGACAGGTTTTTTCACAAAAATTTTTTTTATTTGAAAAATACGCAATTTTCAAGGCTTAGAAAATTCATAGTTTTTCAGTTTAAGGTCTTTAAAAATTATTTTGATGATATGTATATCAAAAAGATGACTATGTTTTTGTGTTAAATGGTTAAAGGAATAAATCAATGAAATTTGACATTTATATCTAATCTGGTTTTATTGAAAATCAAGGTTTAAGTAGTTGATTGATTAAATTTTTTCTCTCCTTGTAAACAACTAAAGGGGGTAACTTTCGGAAATTCCTGTCCAAAAACCACTTGAACGATTTTGTCCAAAATATGCATACATGCAGTAGATATAGTCATGTACTAAATATATAAAAATAACGAATATTAAACGACAGGAATTTTTTTGGGTAGGTGTGTTGTACATCCTTAAACGGGAAATATTCTATGTTGGATTTTTATGGCTACTCATTCATGAAACTCGAATTTAATAATCAATTCTTTCACTTTAATATAAGTATAAGCTGTTATTACAAATTTATTGTTGGTCATTGTGATTTAACCGTAAGAATTTGAGGCGCATTAAATTCATTCACTTACGACCTTGTCACCCAACTGCTTGGTTTATTTGGTTACCGGACGTAGAAAAAATAATTGTAAAGATGGATCTTTTAATCTCGAAAAAAGTAAAACAGGACCTGCTGAATGTATTGAAACTTTTCAAAGACTTGTGAAAAATGTATTATATTTATTTAATCAAAATATATCAAGTTTTATATTTCAAGTGTCGTAAAACATCGCTAGTATTAGCAACTCGGAAATCGGAATTAATTATGTTAGCCCGTATCGGGTTTTGGATATTTTCATTCAGTATGTTTCCGGTTTAGATTGTTGCTTATCAAATGGCCAAAGACGGTGTTTCTTTTGTAAATTATGAAATAAAACAATTTTTTTTGTGTTAAACTTTATTTCTGATAGACATTGATAATGACCTTCGTGTAAACGTTTACTCAAACTGTAAACGTTTAGAGCATATAATCGAAACGTCGCCGTTTACACGTGTAATCGTTTCGCCCTTACCCATGACCAATCATGGATTTGCTATTTTTTAGAAAATGATTGAGAAGAAGATTTTTAAAGAATTTTCCTATATATTTCTATGTTAAACTTTGGTCGGCCATTTTGGCCCCGCCCTACCCCCGGGTGTCATGATTTGAACAAAATTGAATCTACACTACCTGAACATGCTTCCATATAAATATGATGAATAATGGCTTTGTCATTCTTGAGAAGAAGATTTTTAAAGAATTAAATTTTCCTATATATCTCTATGTAAAACGTTGGTCGGCCATTTTGGCCCCGCCTTACCCCCGGGGGTCATGATTTGAACAAACTTGAATCTACACTACCTGAGCATGCTTCCATATATATATGATGAATAATGGCTTTGTCATTCTTGAGAAGAAGATTTTTAAAGAATTTTCCTATATATTTCTATGTAAAACATTGGTCGGCCATTTTGGTCCCGCCCTACCCCCCGGGGTCATGATTTGAACAAACTTGAATCTACACTACCTGAGCATGCTCCCATATAAATATGATGAATTATGCCTTTGTCATTTTTGAGAAGAAGATTTTTAAAGAATTTTCTTATATATTTCTATGTAAAAACTTGGTCGGCCATTTTGGCCCCGCCCTACCCCCGTGGGTCATGATTTGAACAAACTTGAATCTACACTACCTGAGCATGCTTCCATAGAAATATGATGAATTATGGCTTTGTCATTCTTGAGAAGAAGATTTTTAAAGAATTTTCCTATATATTTCTATGTAAAACTTTGGTCGGCCATTTTGGTCCCGCCCTACCCCCCGGGGTCATGATTTGAACAAACTTGAATCTACACTACCTGAGCATGCTCCCATATAAATATGATGAATTATGCCTTTGTCATTTTTGAGAAGAAGATTTTTAAAGAATTTTCTTATATATTTCTATGTAAAAACTTGGTCGGCCATTTTGGCCCCGCCCTACCCCCGTGGGTCATGATTTGAACAAACTTGAATCTACACTACCTGAGCATGCTTCCATAGAAATATGATGAATTATGGCTTTGTCATTCTTGAGAAGAAGATTTTTAAAGAATTTTCCTATATATTTCTATGTAAAACTTTGGTCGGCCATTTTGGCCCCGCCCTACCCCCGGGGGTCATGATTTGAACAAACTTGAATCTACACTACCTGAGCATGTTTCCATATAAATATGATGAATTATGGCTTTGACTCATTCTTGAGAAGAAGATTTTTAAAGAATTTTCCTATATATTTCTATGTAAATCTTTGGTCGGCCATTTTGGCCCCGCCCTTACCCGTGGGGTCATGATTTGAACAAACTTGAATCTACACTACATGAGCATGCTCCCATATAAATATGATGAATTATGGCTTTGTCATTCTTGAGAAGAAGATTTTTAAAGAATTTTCCTATATATTTCTATGTAAAACTTTGGTCGGCCATTTTGGCCCCGCCCTACCCCCGGGGGTCATGATTTGAACAAACTTGAATCTACACTACCTGAGGATGTTTCCCCATAAGTTTCATCTTTCCTGGCACAGTGGTTCTTGAGAAGAAGATTTTTAAAATATACCACTAAATTTTCATTAATTCCCAATTATCTCCCCTTGAATAAGGGCGTGGCCCTTCATTTGAACAAACTTGAATCCCCTTCACCCAAGGATACTTTGTGGCAAGTTTGGTTAAAATTGGCCCAGCAGTTCTTGAGAAGAAGTCGAAAATGTGAAAAGTTTACAGACAGACAGACGGACAGGCAGACAGACGGACAGACGGACGCCGGACAAAATGTGATCAGAAAAGCTCACTTGAGCCTTCGGCTCAGGTGAGCTAAAAAGTGGGAACAAAATTCTTATTTATATAATAATCTGGCTGAACACATCTTTGTACAAGTTGACATTTTTTGTCTAAAGACTAAGGAGATACTGTATTGTCAATTTGTGAAATCGACAATTTACGGATAAACATAATTATGCACCCAGCATGATGATAAAAAAAAAACACCTTGTAGGGTACCATAAAACCGCAAGACAGCAATTACAAATTCTAACAATTATTTATTTATTCCCGATGAAGACCATAAAAGACAGATGACAGGACAATAAACAAATTCACTTGAGGTCTAATTGATAATGAATTTAATTGTTAAAGAAAGAAGATTGAAATAAAATATTTCTATTATCGCATTATAGCTGCAGAACTGTAGCTCTCCGATTTTTTTTTTTTTTTTTTTTTTTTTGACAGACCGCACTGTCAAAACATATTTTTCAGAGAGCTACAGTTCTGCAGCTAATTCCATTAGAAAGAAAGACAGTAAGTCTTAGAATTAATGAATAAAAATAAATAATCATGTGCTTCTGTCCTTTTCAAAAGCTAGTTCAAGATTGTATAAATTGATTTTTGATTAATTAATACAAAAAATTAATAAATAAAGGAATGAATTAAATTATAAAGGACTTCTAAAAAAAATAATTATTCAAATAAATGAGTGAATGCATAAATGTTTAAATCATGAATAAAATAAACAATAAGTGCGTGAAGTCATAAATAAATAAAAAATACATGTGTGAATTAATAAATAGATAAATAAGATGAAATAAAACAAATAAAGTTGGCGTTAAATTCAGCGTGGTAATTAACAAAAAAAAATTAAACTTATTACACTATAATTTTTGTGTTGGAGTGAAATGACCTAGTTTGTGGAGAGAAATGACCTGGGTAATGGAGAGAAATGACCCAGGAGAGAGATGACCTGGGCGGAAATGACCTAGGCGGAGCAGGTACTGGGGAGAAATGACCCGGATTCAAGAATTCGAAATAAGTCTTAATTGCAAAAAAGTTTGCTCTCTCTCAGAATGAGTGTTATAAATGTATACTGAGGATTTTCACCTGTGCGTAATAATTACAGGTGTGCTGCTGTATGCTAGTCAGTATCCACAAGGACTTGGTGATTACATTTCTCTGAACATCATTGATAGACAGCTGGAGTTCCGATTTAACGTCGGCACAGGAACAGTTGTAATCAGGTGAATAGGATGGTGGTTTGTGGGGACATTTATTTACGTCTTAATGAGCTTTTCCATTGAACTGCTCAGTCTCCAATTTTTAAAGACAAATCATGAATTTTTGACTATTTATGACTGAGAATCTACAATCCCATTTGATTTTTGCTGACCAGACTTTCACTGGGCTCAGTCTTTAGATCACTGAGTTTTGTGAAGACTGATTCACTTTATTGATATATATATCCACTTGCTTTTGTTCTCATTAATATATATTGCAAGAATTGAGGGCACCTGTTGGAGAAATCTGTTCCTCATTGAGTCCTTTTCTTGTAGGAGTACAAAGACAATCAAACTGAACAAATGGCATGATGTGTTGATGCAGAAAAGTGACAGAACTGGGACTCTACAAGTAGATAGTGACCGTACTTATACAGGAATGTCACAGGTAAATACTAGTCACAAGTGAATATTGTATTAGTTGCAAGAGCATATTGTAAAAGTCACAGGTAAATATTATAATAGTCACAAGTGAATATTGTAAAAGTCATAGGTAAATATTGTAACAGTCACAAGTGAATATTATAATAGTCACAAGTGAATATTGTTAAAGTCACTTGTAAATATTTTAAGAGTCACAAGTGAATATTATAATAGTCACAAGTGAATATTGTAAAAGTCACTTGTAAATATTTTAATAGTCACAATTGAATATTATAATTGTCACAAGTGAATATTGTAAAAGTCACAGGTAAATATTGTAATAGTCACAAGTGAATATTGTAAAAGTCACAGGTAAATATTGTAATAGTCACAAGTGAATATTTTAATAGTCACAGGTAAATATTGTAAAAGTCACAGGTAAATATTGTAATAGTCACAAGTGAATATTTTAATAGTCAATGGCAAGTGATACCACTTCAATCTTCAATCACCCCACTCCAGAACTGTGTTACCATTGGGAGCATAGTGTTTCACAATCACATGTTGTTTTTACTAAAATGTTAAAACTGAATGCATTAAGCAGAGTAACAAAAATAATGCATTTGAATGGAACATCCTTTTACTGACTGAAATTTTCAGATTTCTTCTTCAAAGAGAATGCAGTGTAAGTTATTTTTTCTTCTTAATTTTGTTTAGGGAATTCTAACGGAGCTGAACTTGTCTAACAGTGTGTTACATGTAGGAGGCTTCAATACCAGTGTTCCCAGAGACTCTCAGATCAAAGCTAACTTCACCGGAGTTATACAGAGGGTAAGATCTAACAGTGTGTTACATGTAGGAGGCTTCAATACCAGTGTTCCCAGTGACTCCCAGATCACAGCGAACTTCACAGGAGTTATACAGAGGGTAAGATCTAACAGTGCGTTACATGTAGGAGACTTCAATACCAGTGTTCCCTGTGACACTTCTCAGCTAACTTCACAGGAGTTATACAGAGGGTAAGATCTAACAGTGTGTTACATGTAGGAGGCTTCAATACCAGTGTTCCCAGTGACTCCCAGATCACAGCTAACTGCACAGGAGTTATACAGAGGGTAAGATCTAACAGTGTGTTACATGTAGGAGGGTAAGATCTAACAGTGTGTTACATGTAGGAGACTTCAATACCAGTGTTCCCAGTGACTCCCAGATCACAGCTAACTTCACCGGAGTAATACAGAGGGTAAGATCTAACAGTGTGTTACATGTAGGGGGCTTCAATACCAGTGTACCTAGTGACTCGCAGATCACAGCTAACTTCACCGGAGTCATACAGAGGGTAAGAACTAACAGTGTGTTACATGTAGGGGGCTTCAATACCAGTGTTCCAAGTGACTCCCAGATCACAGCTAACTTCACAGGAGTTATACAGAGGGTAAGATCTAACAGTGTGTTACATGTAGGAGACTTCAATACCAGTGTTCCCTGTGACACTTCTCAGCTAACTTCACAGGAGTTATACAGAGGGTAAGATCTAACAGTGTGTTACATGTAGGAGGCTTCAATACCAGTGTTCCCAGTGACTCCCAGATCACAGCTAACTGCACAGGAGTTATACAGAGGGTAAGATCTAACAGTGTGTTACATGTAGGAGGGTAAGATCTAACAGTGTGTTACATGTAGGAGACTTCAATACCAGTGTTCCCAGTGACTCCCAGATCACAGCTAACTTCACCGGAGTAATACAGAGGGTAAGATCTAACAGTGTGTTCCATGTAGGGGGCTTCAATACCAGTGTACCTAGTGACTCGCAGATCACAGCTAACTTCACCGGAGTCATACAGAGGGTAAGAACTAACAGTGTGTTACATGTAGGGGGCTTCAATACCAGTGTTCCAAGTGACTCCCAGATCACAGCTAACTTCACCAGAGTTATACAGAGGGTAAGATCTATCAGTGTGTTACATGTAGGAGGCTTCAATACCAGTGTTCCCAGTGACTCCCAGATCACAGCTAACTTCACAGGAGTTGTACAGAGGGTAAGATCTAACAGTGTGTTACATGTAGGAGACTTCAATACCAGTGTTCCCAGTGACTCCCAGATCACAGCTAACTTCACAGGAGTTGTACAGAGGGTAAGATCTAACAGTGTGTTGCATGTAGGGGGCTTCAATACCAGTGTTCCAAGCAATTCACAAATCTCAACAAACTTCACCTGAGTCATACAGAGGGTAAGGCTTGGCTGTGGGCTATTTATAGTAATGGTGTAAGCTTTACAAATTCAGATTTGCCTGATTTGTTCAAATTTGTTATGTTTGTGGTCCAGGTCTTTGTAACACTGTATACAGGTAAGTCACAATCCCTTAATGATAAGGATAATATGTCAGTGTGTGTTCTTAGTATTGAGGCTGTTTACAACAGAATTAACAAAAGGAAAACTTTGATCTTTGATACTTTAATCCCAGTACATCAATTTAATTTCACATTCACATTTTCTGTTATAATGAAGAGCATGGTTATACTTTTCATTGAATTTTGACAGATCTACATTAATGGACATCTATATGACAATCTGATTCAATCAGCCACGTCCTCAGTCAACGTCAGGGAGTACCACGGCCCCCCGTGTAATGTCAACCCTTGTATGAACTGGGGAGTGTGTGTACCACGACTAGATGAGGCCGACTGTAAATGTCCAACCAAGTACATCGGGGCCCGCTGTGAGAAAAGTAAGTAGAGCCGAAACAGAGGAATCGTAAAAATATTGAAGAAAAGAACAAAATGAGGAGAATCACTTAACTTATCAAATCTGGTATAATCTGGTATAATAGTTGTAAACTGGTACCCCTAGATAGGAGAATATGACCCCAATCGACTTTGACTTCGGGTAAAACTACTCTGGTCACAAGGTCAAGGGTCAACCTATGGTTTTCTAAAATATTTCTATATTTGATTACTAGAAAGAAAGTCCTTAGCACCACTGCTATATTGAAAGAGCAATATATGGTAAGTGTCTCAAATGGCCCCCTAAAATGAATATCTTACTTTTAATTTGTATAAAGATTTACTTTGCACAGCTATACATGCGACTTTGATTATTAATTTTCAATCTGATCAAAATGCTGTTAATATAGAAATGTGACATCATAAAGTTCATGTTTTCCTGCAATTTTTAGCATATTTTGTATAAAACTGCTTATTTTCAAGCAGTTTTTCTTCCAAAAAATATTGAGCACAAACTAGAACATACTTTCATTTTTTACCAAAGATGTATTTATTCAATACTAATTACTGACAGAAAAATTATGCATATTCTACAATGCGCTCTATGTTTCCCATAAGAAAAAACATCAAGAAAAAGACGTATTTTTGGCTTTTTTTGTTAGATAATTATATAAAAAAGTGTTATTTCTGTCATCATGTACAGCCAGTTAGTGCATATAAATGTGAAAAATATATGGGAAATATATCTAATATAATCTCTTCTACAAAATAAATATCAATTAAACATATCTGAATGTCATTCTAAAATGCTAATTTTTCGGGGGCCAAGATATATATGTTCAGTCCTTTATTGTGTGTTACCGATTACTTTCAGTGGCTGATCTTAAAAACAAAGACTTACCCGTGGCATTTGATGGCAGCACCTTCCTACAGTATCCTAATGAAATAACTATACAGTAAGGAATTACTATCATTCATACAGAGAAGTGAGTTCTTAATGCATTTTATCTTTATTTTGACTACAGACAGAGTATGAAGTCCTTTTGTTTGTTTGACAACCGCCTTTCAGATCTTTGTCGTATGTTAACTTTTTATTGAAGGGTAAATATTTCATAGGATACTTTAGCCAATTGCATTTTTATTTTGATAATATATCTTCTTATACCGCGATAACCTTAAACATGGTCAAGCTTAATGATTGCTTGGGAAATGTCAAAAAGAATCATTATATTGGCCAAACTTAGACATTTTTTTAAAGAAGACACAAGAAGTCAGATATTAACAGCCTCTGTTAAATCTTTCCAGACAAACAGCCCAGAGGGTGAACAGATACAGCATTGTGTTCAAGACCAGATCCCCGACCGGCCTCATTTTGTTCCAGAACGGACGGAGTAACATCCTGGGTGACTACCTGGCCCTAGCTGTGGTGGGGGGACAGGTGGAGCTCAGCTACAATCTGGGTAAACAGTCCGAGGGAGATCTCCACATCATCCGGTCCTCGGTCAAGGTGGACGACGGACAGTGGCATCATGTCATTGCTCTACGGTACGTACCAAGAGTTCATAGTCTTGTCAGAAATAGTGATGTTTATCCAGATATTTCAAGATTTTATAGCCGTATCAGAAATAGTGATGTTTATCCAGATATTTCAAGATTTTATAGCCGTATCAGAAATAGTGATGTTTATCCAGATATTTCAAGATTTTATAGCCTTATCAGAAATAGTGATGTTTATCCAGATATTTCAAGATTTTATAGCCGTATCAGAAATAGTGATGTTTATCCAGATATTTCAAGATTTTATAGCCGTATCATAAATAGTGATGTTTATCCAGATATTTCAAGATTTTATAGCCGTATCAGAAATAGTAATGTTTATCCAGATATTTCAAGATTTTATAGCCGTATCAGAAATAGTGATGTTTATCCAGATATTTCAAGATTTTATAGCCGTATCAGAAATAGTGATGTTTATCCAGATATTTCAAGATTTTATAGCCGTATCAGAAATAGTGATGTTTATATATCCAGATATGATAAGATTTCATAGCCTTATCAGAATTAGTGATGTTTATCCAGATATAATAAGATTTCATGGCTTCATCAGAAACACTAGAGTTTATCCATATGCTGTAAATCATTTTAATTCCATGGTGTTAAAATTTCATGATCTTTCAAAAAGTTCTTATAGCGAAGGTTTTAAATTCACGCTGCAAAAAATTTATTCAAATTTTCATATAACAATTAAAACATTTGTAAAACTAATAATAGCATTCACGATGGGTTTAATTTCGCGGAAAAAAGATAAATTGCGAACATAGGGAAATTAAAACCATCGTGATTATTTGCCAATCTACAGTATTTCAAGATTTTATAGCCGTATCAGAATTAATCAGTAATTTATATTATTAAATGGGATTATTATTACAGGGATGAGAGGGAGGGAAGTTTACAGGTGGATGGTGAAGTCCCTGTGGTGGATCAATCATCTGTAGGGGCAGACCAGTTAGACACCAACGGCAGGCTGTGGATTGGTGAGTTTGGGATACAAATAATATCCAAGTAGTCAGTTTCAAAGGTGCTACCAATTGGTAGCTACTGTGTTTTTGCCATTCTCCACTTGGCAAGTTAGACTTTCTGAGTATCTTTGAGCCCACTTGGACCAAAGTTGTAAAGGTGGTGCATCAATCTAGAGGTGCTCACTTTAAAACTGCTTTAAATTTGATGCTGTATCTGATCTATATTCTTTAGAGGCAGAATTCTTTAAAGTTATTTCAGCAGTTTGATTCTCAAGTAGCTATTAGGGCTGGGACGATCCACCGGTGCACCGATGCATCACAGTATTCACTTTGACGATATACGGATCGATTCATCTAATTTAGTATCACGATACCTGACCGCACTTTTTTTTAATTTCCAGAAATGTCTGGGCTTTAGAATTCGAAATTTTTTAGTCCTTTAGTCTGTATCATCAAGACGTTTAAACAATCAGAAATAAAGTACAAACGTCTTGGTGATACAGAATTCAAAATACAAGCGTCAGGATGGTGTTAGACACGCCGGATTATGTTAAATCAACAAAACCCAATGGCAGTAAGTCGGGTTTCTGTTGAATTAGTTTATTTTTATAATCTGTAATATTCCAAATTAAATGTTTCTAAAAAAAATATCTAGTTTTATTTGGTTTTAAATGTATCGTGATATATATCGTATCGCACCTAAGGTATCGTGATATGTATCGGATAGGCTAAGTTCGGTATCGTCCCAGCCCTAGTAGCTATGCATCTTACCAAGACTAAAATTGAAAGAACAAAATTGCTAAGAGATGTGCATACCACAGTTAGTAATACCTATAAGTCATGCAATGAAACATAACATTTCTTGCAATGAAACATAACATTTCTCATCTCTATGATCAGTGTTAAAACTTTTATTTTTATGTGTATTGTCAGGTGGTAAAACAGAACTTCCCCTGGGTCTGCCAAAGGAGTACTACACCGGATTTACTGGATGTATAAAGGAAGTCCTTGTAGACTATAAATCTCTACATTTGTTGGAGAACAGAAATGAACAGAGTACCAGTTTAATCAGAAACTGTGGAACATCATAGCAGAATAAGGAGATAAGTTTATACTTCATGTGGACAGAGCACCGAGATGTGGAATATAGCAGGGTGATGAAACCAGTTTATCAAATACAGAGTGAGAGAACCAGACTAGTATATTTTTTTTTTATTTCATCACCCATTATTTATAGCCTCATGTGGGATGTGTATGTAGATGTCTTTAAAAGTGGACTTTTCTGTTGGATTTTGATAACTGGTCATCTGAAGTGGTGATATCAGCATGAGGCTTTGAAGCAGACTCTTTGTCAAATAATTTAACATGTGATTTAATTTAAAAATAATGATAGATGGAATGCAGTGTTCTTGTGGAAGATGAAAGACTGCATTATTTTTATGTAGGATACAGAATTGTGGCACTGTGAGATATGTGATGTTTTTGAACTTGAGAGGTCTTTTTTTTTTGTAAATAAGCAGTACACAAATTAAATTGATTTGTATCAGCCAATAGATGATTACATGAAATCCAACATATGACTTTTGCATGGTGTAAGGACAGAAAATAAAACCTTATACCTCTGAAGTGTGTATGTATCATGTGTGTTTGTTTATATGAATATATTAAAAAAAATGCTTTATCAAAAGTTTGTATTTAGTTGATATGTTTAAAGCCTATTTATTAAAAATGTGTTTCAGATATTTTTATCATAATAACTACAGCAATTTTGCTTAGAATATTTTTTACTTGCATAAAATGTAAATAAATATTTGATGAAAAGACATGAAAGATTGTCATGAATTGTCATGAATAATTGTAAAAAATCACAGAAAATTATTTTACTGGAATTTAATGCATATATTCACATTAGTATTGATTTCTGTGCAAAATACATTGTTTATTATAAAAAAAATTATTAAATGTGCCAATGGTTTAATTGACTTCTTTTTTTTCATCAAAACTCAAAATCTGATGACCTTTGTTCCTGCTTTGGTATTTCATGCAGAACTTAGTTTGTTTAAACAATTTTTAGAATGCTACTCCTCCTTAGTTTTGGTCTGATTTCAATATATCTTGACACATAAATAAACTACACTAAGATACATAATTTTGGTTTTTTATTTCAATGAACAATGTTGCCATGGTTACTAAAAATAGAAATTTTTGTGAAATTCTTTCAAAATGCTACTCCTCCTACTGTTTTGGTCTGACTCCAATATAACTTGGCATACAAGTAGACTACACTACGGTACATAATTAGGGCCCCGCAAGGATTTGCGGGTGCCGTATAATAATCACTCTGTCTGTCCGTCTGTCTTTCTTCCGTCCACAAATTTTCTGTTTTTTCCTAATAACTTTTTTTGTGGTTGCCCAATTAAGATCAAATTTGGTATGGTAGTTCAATAGGCAGAAAGACATATTTTGATGCTAAGTTTGTTTCTCTATGTCCCCTGGTTTGGAGCTGGGGTGGTGGGGTAGATTCCTTAACTTTATATAAGAATGCATTGGCAAAGAGAGATAACTGCTGAAGTTGTTCCCATTGTAAACTGAATGCTGCTTTGAGTCCCTTGGGATTAATTAGCTTTCCTCCTGAAGAAAATCCAGAGCATTATCTTTATCTGTCACATTGAGATTAATTACCACTTCTGTCTGCAAGTGAAGTTTGTTTTGAAGTTAAGTCTATTTGGAATGCTATGAACACTCTGAAAGGTGGATGTAAATAAAAATGTTTATACTTTATTTTTGTTAAAATAGTTATGATTTCATTGAATTCTTAAAAACAAGAAATAGATAAAAAGAAGATATGTTTTTTATTTCAATAAAAAATTTTTTTTTTTTTACTTTTTTCCTTTTATGTAAATTCAAGAATACATGTATTAATTTTTAAGGTAGTTGTATAAAAACCCCATTCTATCATACTGAAAAAGTTCTTATTGTAACTTTAGAAGAAAATGATGACAGAGGTACAATTAATCCCTTGGGATTAATTATCTAGCCTGCTGCAGAAAATTTAGTAGGCTTTTCTTTATTTGTAACTTTAAGATTAATGAAAACCTTTGTCTGCAACTGCTGTTTGTTTGAAGCTAAGGTCAAGCCTTCATGATATTTGCATTCATTAAAGGCTGGCATTTTGTATAAGATAAGCTTCATTATTGTTTAAATATACATTCAATGTTAAGTTGTTCTTTACTGCCTAATGTAAATACAAGGATATTATTTACAGGTTTTTGAATATTCAGGAATTATCTTGAAATTTTAAGAAGACAGTTGCTGTTGCTTATTCTTCGTAAATTTTTTAATCATTCCGTAAGCTGCACCCTTATAATTCTATCCCATGGCGGGGCCCTTGCTGACTGGTCAGTTTTCTAGTTCTGTTTATCGTTTTTTGATTTTAATGAACGTTGTTGGCGTTGTTACTAAAAATGTAAATTTCTAAGAAATGCTTTCAAAATGCTACTCCTCCTACAGTTTTGGTCTGATTTCAGACCTGCCTACCCTTCCGCTTTTGGCGTAATTCTTCCGCTTTTTACCACAAAATTACGCTATTACGCCACTTGTATTAATTTTACGCTTTTGATATTTTGATTTACATGTAAAATCCTTTATATGAACGTCTACATTTAGAGTCAAAGTACCACCTGCTGAAATTAAATGTGAAGTTCTCGTAAAAGCAATTACTGAGTATATAATAGCGGACCAGTTGGAAAACGTGCGTGATATACCTAGTAGTTAAATGTAATCTGGTATGGCGAAGATTCGGAAGAACACGAGAAAGCACTTCTTAGGTTAACTATTAAATGATTTTGCGAAGAGTACAGACATTTCTTTGCTCAATTTAATTTATTTTAACATTGCTTAGAACAAGATAGAGAAATGTGAGTGTTTAAAGAATAAAATACAGAATTTTTTATATGTACGATTTGTGTAAACAAGCAAACGCAAGCCTTCAATCAAGTTATTTGAAACAAATTGACCAAATGCTTCAATAAGAGTGTGCTGTTGATTTGTAATAGGATACTGGTATTTTACAACACTTTATTGCCAAAAGATTATTCAGAAAAAGAAAAGTGGATGCCATCTCTGTTCAGTAATGTACAATTTCGTTTGTTTTTCGAGAAAAAAAAGTATTAAAATGAAACAACAAAATAGGAAAACTTGACTGATTACGCTTTTACCTCTGAAATTACACCAAAAATTTACCGAAATTACACCCTTGCAATGAAAAGGGTAGGCAGGTCTGTGATTTCAGTATACCGGTAACTTGGCACACAAGTAGACTGCACTAAGGTATATCATTCTGAATATCAGTTTTTGATTTCGATTAATGTTGTTACTAAAAATAGAAATTTCTCTGAAAACTCTTTCAAAATGTTACTCCTACAGGTTTGTTCTGATTTCAATATAACTTGGCACGCAAGTAGACTACTAAGATTCATAATTCTGTTCATCAGTTTTTGATTTCGATGAACATTCTTGCCGTGGTTACTATGGTTACTAAAAATAGAAATTTCTGTGAAATTCTTTTAAAATGCTGCTCCTCCTACAGTTTTGGTCTGATTTCAATACAACTTGGCACACAAGTACACTACACTAAGCTTAAAGGTACATATAATTCTGTGAATCAGTTTTTGATTTCGATAAACAGTGTTGGTGTTGTTACTGAAAATAACATTTTCTATGAAATTCTTTCAAAATGCTACTCCTCCTACAGTTTGTGGTCTGACTCCAATATAACTTGGCACACAAGTAGATTCAATACACCTGTACACTAAGATACATATTTCTGTGTATCGGTTTTTGATTTTGATTAACATTATTGCTTTGGTTACTTGAAATAGCAATTTCTGTTAGATACTCTCAAAAGGCTACTTCAAATACAGTTTTAGTCTGAGTATAATATAATGTGGCATGCAAGTAGACTACACTAAGAACATAAAGAGACTTATATTCAAGGATCATTATTCTATTTATTGCTGTTGTAAAGTCTCAATTCCCAGCTGCATAAGTACTTTCCTCTTCCTTTGCTATAAGAACAAACCAGTAGAGCCTCAGTCTCAACAGAGACTTCTGGTTTTATCAGAGATTATTAATAACTATTTTATACAGTTGTGGAATCATTGAAGAGTAATGTTAGTGAATTTCATGGATCACAACCACATATTATCCATGTGAAAGATAAATTGGATTATTAGTAGTGTAAACCTTTGTTGCCTTTGAACATTGATTTGACCTTGAAATTAAACGTTCACATTGTTTGTAATGTCATATGATAAACATGTACTTTAAAACAACAAAGAAATGCCACGTCCTATTTTAGAAGAAAAAATTGAATAAACAGTTACATGATTTTCATACTATTACCAGAAGTTAAGTCCCTTTTACAGATTTGGCAATGATTTGAGGTTTTGGTCATTTGTGCAGTGTGTCTCAACTTTTTAGAATATGTGCAATAACTCAAGAACCCATTGGCCAATCTTTGTCTTTGTAACATGGTATCCTTGGCCTAAGGGCTACCATTTAAATACTAAAACTAGGGTTCACTTCCCTTAAACAAGGGGAGATAAGCAGGAAACAAAAAACAAAAAAAAAATACTGGTTGCTAAAAAATCTTCCCCAGAGCCACTGGGCAGATTATCGTAACTTTCATACAAGGATGAGGATATGCTGTAGATTAAAATTTGTATGGGGAATTACCCTGGGGCAAAAGACGTGGTCTCAAGGTCACTTCAAAATTGACCAAAAATATAAAGATTTAATTTTAAAATTGATATTTTGTTTACTATACAGACTATCATGAAATCTTGTAAGTTGATGAATCTTAAGACTTCAAATAATGTTAACTCAAAAGAAGGTCATGGTGACCTAATTTAGCTCGCCTGAGCCGAAGGCTCAAGTGAGCTTTTCTGAAAACATTTTGTCCGTCTGTCTGTAAATTTTTCACATTTTCGACTTCTTCTCAGGAACCACTTGGCCAAATTCAACCAAACTTGCCACAAAATATCCTTAAGTGGAAGGGACTCAAGTTTATTTAAATAAGGACCATATTCTATTTCAAGGTGGAGATAATTAAAAATTAGCGATAAACAAGATGTGTTTGTGAAACACGTACTATACGCCCAGTGGCAACAAATTAAAAAAAACATATTTTTAGCATAAAGATCACAGTCAAAGTACAAGGTCATTGATCTTGGTGTCATTTGAAAGATCTTTATTAGTGAAGTATGCATACCAATTATGAAGTCTCTAATAATAATATAATAATAATAATACTTTATTTAGAGAAGGTAACCCGATTAGTGCGAGCACTAGTCTTCCTCGGGGCCT